AGACGTTACCTATTTTTGTAACTTTTTGATTATTTCGAGGAAGATCTCTTATTATATAAGGGAGACCTTCACATTGTAAAGGGGGGATTCTGAATAAGACAACTCTCTCATTTTCTGACTTTCTCTCTCTATCTCTGCCTCAAACGAACATATTCTCTTGAGTTCATATTATCACTTTGCAATACTAGATCTACAACAATAACATCATCTTTACATCTCTAGGTCTATTATATTTGATTACGATTTACCCTTTTCTTACTTTTGATTGTTTTCTAGCTTACAAAGTATATTGTTAACTTTTGAGCCAAACAGACATCAAAATTAATAATTTCCTGCGGTGATCCAAACAAAATTTTCCAAGAGAGAAACGGAACAAATATTGTCGGCAAAACCCCAAATAGGCGGTACTTATCAGCTTAAGATATTCATCGCCCGTTCTGCTAAGCTAGACAAATCAACTTATTTTAATATGTACTTTTGTGAAAAGCAATTTATATTCGATTAATTCATTTAAAAAAGTACGTATGAACAGCATTTAGTATTTGATCAAGTACGTATGAACAGCATTTAGTATTTGATCAAGTTTTTAGAAACTGCTTCTACGTGTATTTCTCAAAGGTACTTTTTAAAAAAAATGTTTTTAAAGAGAAACTACTATTTTTTTCTACTTTTTCAAAATTGATACTGCTTCTCTTCAAAAACATTTTTCTTACAAAAGCTTGGCCAAACAATTCACTTGCGGAAAAAAACTTTTTTAAAAGAGATTTTTACATGGTTGCTCCCTTTTTAAAAATTATTTTTATAAATGATAGTAATCTTTGTTTATTCTAAAACTAGCACATTTTTTTTACTTTTTTAGCACTTTCACGTTGGTAACTCATTAACTAAGGGATTCATTTCCCTCTCTCTTCCATAATTTTCTTCTTCTCTTCTATAAATAACACTTACCAAATATATCAAAGATTCTGAAAAAAGAATATCGAAAAAATAATCCGCTCTTTAACAAGGTTACAATGAAATTTTTTTACTGTACAATATTTTTTTACTCATAATATACCTTTAATATATTTCAAGTATATTATATTGTGATAATTTATAGAGCAAAAAACGTAACTAGGCAATATCTAAAGAAAATTTGCAAAATTATAGCAATATTAGTTATTTTCATCCACGGCACCTAAATATTTACATATCCTAATAGCTGTCAAATAAATGATCCTAAACGTCAGCTGGACACCCATAGGAAACTTTTCCTATTTTTTCGCTCAAATTTTTAATCTTCCATAACTGGTACAATCCTTCCATTTTTTTTGTATTCCCTTTTCTAATGCCTTTCTTTCTTATTTTCTTATGCAAAATTCTTCTTTTCATTTCCTTCGTTAGAGTTTAAATTTGGATAATAACATATTATTTTAACATGTTATAACTTTGATTGGTGGTGCTTATATGGTTTCGATTTAAATGGTATATGTGATAAGTATATAATAGTGGTATATATAAAGTATAATACACATTTATAAAGAATATGTATAGTACATTTATAAAGAATATATATATATATATATATATATATATATATATATATATATATAATTTATATATGTGGTATAAAATACATAAAAATTATATATGACATATTGATGAAATATTTACATTATACATTATCACAATATAATATACTTGAAATATATTAAAGGTATATTATGAGTAAAAATAAAATTATACAGTAAAAAGTTTAAAAGTTAAAGAAAAAAATACTAAAATTCCCATTGAGCAATTTCGTTAAAGAGCGAATTATTTTTTAGATATTCTTTTTTCAGAATCTTTGATATATTTGGTAAGTGTTATTTATAGAAGAGAAGAAGAAAATTCTGGAAGAGAGAGGGAAAATGGATCCCTTAATTAATGAGTTACCAACGTGAAAAGTGCTTAAAAAGTATAAAAAAAATAAAAAAAAATGTGCCAGTTTTGGAATAAACAAAAATTACTACTCCCTCCGTTTCAATTTATATGAAGTCATTTGACTGGGCATGGAATTTAAGAAAAAAGAAAATACTTTTGAACTTATCTATATTATTATAAAAGCATGAATACAATGTCGGTTTACAAAAATAACCTTATAATATTAAACATAATAACTCACAATAAAAGGATATAATCGAAATTCTTGACATTAATCTTGTAATCCTATTAGTTTTAGGACATAATACTACACTTAGGAATCCTACATGAACCAAACGAAGAAAGACAAGACCCCAAATTGGAAGGAACTATTATACATTCAAAGTCATGAAACTACGGTAGGTGTATGGCTTCATATTGGACACCCAACAAGGATTTAAAGAGAAAAACTTCAAACTTAAAACAAATATAGCAAGAGAGTTCTTCGGGTATGGTCTTTTAAGCAACTAAAAGTAAAAAGTAACAAATAGAAAAAAGGATATAATATGTCATATATCTATGCATAGAGAGTATAAAATTTATTTAAAAGTTAAAGCACAAAACAAGATGTCCCTTTTATTTTTTATATTCTTTTCTTTTTAATTAGTATCTTAATTTGGTCTATTCTAAATTTTAAGTTGCAACTGGTAATCATTGTTATGTTTACTACTTTAGTAAATCAGTGTAATATTTAACAACAAAAAAAAAAA